GAGCGTTGCGTGACATCCCAAAAAACGGCTGCGGAGGAGACTACCTTGACGGGGAGTGCCCTTATAATAGAACCTGACATGTTTTGAAACCTAATGAACCATCGCATGCCTGTTTTTCCCCATGGGACAGAGTTAGAAGTGCACAACATTTTCACCGTTGTGGGAGAAATGCGTAAAGTTGATAACCTTTGACCATAGTTACTATACTTTGACATAACAAAAGAGTAAAAAACTAAAATTTACATACTTTCCCGATATTTTGACTGTAAAATTAGCGGGGTTATGGCAGGTGACGTGTGGCGGTGTTGCTATAAGCTAACCTTTTCTTACCGAGATATTTATATTCTTTTGAAAGTATGAACAGTGAAATCCGAAAGCAGATGGTAATGCCATGCAAAGTCGGCGACAAAATTTTTTTTCACAAACGTAAATATCTATGCTATAGCTATTCCAATTGGAAAATTGGAATTCACAGCTTCCAAGCCGTTTTTAACACAGAATACAAAGCTGGAGAAATTATCTTTCACCGCACGAACTCAAATCTGGTTTAAATATACTGAGAAGATTGTGCAATCGGCATTTTAATAAAAGCGTGACTGGCCAAAGGGAAACATTTAGTTTTGTTTTCCACCGAGACCCTCAATGTTCACGACCTGATCACATACGTGTCGAAGGTAATCAAGTTGTTGTTTGTGTTCTCCTCCAATCGGAAAACATATTTGAGTTGGGCGGTATAACAAATGACATTAACGGCTGCAATACTGAAAAGCAGAAAAAGCATCGGAAAGTATTTTTCTCGTCCTTCCTCTCTTTAAGAAAAACAAAACATTGTCCGTGTTTCTACAGTCATTAAAACACGAGTGAAGTTTGGGAGAACGAGAAATGCTGTGGGAACACGGGCCGCAGGCAAGTGTTTCCACAGCTTTTTCGGAATCTTTCAAACTTTCACGAGTTAGTTCGATTTAACAATAAGAATACGAGTGCTTCGACTACTAGTGGTGAACAATAAAGACAATAGAGTCTTTATATGTCTCGGAATTAACTATCGGTCTGATAGTTGCCCCTTGAAAATTTGCTACGTATYTGCCCTCGAAGCGTCGCTTTTCCGGCAAATATTTGTTTTATGAACATCAAATTTCCGCCGGACGAACAGGCTCCCTGCGAGGACGGAAAAGAATCTCGGCGAGCGCGAAACAGAAGAATTTGGAGCCTGTTCTCGCTTCCTTCGGGCTCACCGGGAGCCTGTTTGCAGGCTATCAGCCGATAGTTTCGAGACAGAAACACTCTGTTGTTGATTAAAGGGCCCATTAACCGATTCATACGCGCGCTCGCGCGCGTTGCTAAGGAG